AGTAATCCTTCAGTACCACTGGTGATAACCTCTAAGTGAAAAAAAAATAGTGATTTAATCAGCCAGAAAAATGGGTTGGGGGGGACTAGAATCCCCCCCCTCCCCCCAAGCCCAACCTCCTGCGCGGTCCCAGTGCTGAAGTATGAGTTTGATTACCAAATGGAATAAAAGAACAACTCCACTGTCCTACGACTAGTAAAATGCATCGTGATTGGAAGGTTTTCCGACTGTTTCGAAATGAGTAGAAACCAACTTTGAAATATTGATCCATCACGAACATAAATTATATTTGCCTATCGCATTTTTTACACTCTTTGGCTCTTCATATTTGTGAAATTCGGCAGAACTCAGAGTGGAATCTTGTAAAGAGGATACAACACTACTGAGCGGAAATAAAAGTGGCATGACTTCACTTCTTATTCGTAAGTATAGGGCGTTTAAGTAATCCTTCAGTACCACTGGTGATATAATTTTTGGAACAAACGACTCCCTGATACAAATGCGTTCGCGAGAGACGATTTAATGGACTAAAGACCGTCGTTCCTTCTCGCTCGCAAGAATAAAATCAAAACAAAACAAATAAGTATTCCAGCGCGGCATCGAAGCGGTTAATAACGATTCTAAGGCATTTCAAATCTTTTGAGAATTGAAATATGTTATTCTGTACAATGCAATGACATAAAAATTGCGCTCGGTTCGTTCTCTTGGGAATTGTGGCGTGGATAAGGGAAAATTGAATTTATGAATAATTCTGGTAGAATACCTGTTTCTCTTTGAGCTCTTTTGACTCACTTCATCTAAAGGTCTACTGATAATCTTCTCCATTTCCTCGCCAGTTTATAAATCTATAACCGAACAGAGACTGATAATCTTCTTCATTTCCTCCCCAGTTTATAAATCTATAACCGAACAGAGACTAAATGCTTTTCGAAAGGTACAAAGTTGGAGGTTAATGGTTTTAAAGTAAATCGTATCTCTCATTTTTTAATTTTGTTTTTTCAGATCTTTTCAAGTCTACTAAAGGCATGTTAAAAGGTATGTATAACTTTAAAGATTTTATATGTGAACAGTTCAGATAACCTGTTAATGGTATAACAGGTAACGAATCCTCCTTTTACGAATTTTACCCTTTCTATCATTTCTCTCATTATCGATATCGTTATCATTACAACTATTGTCCCCATAATTATTATTAGTAAAATTATAAATAGTAATAGCAGTAGTAATAAATTTAGATAAATAGACTTACTTCTAAGTAAAAAAAAAGTAGTGATTTAATCAGCCAGAAAAATGGGTTGGGGGGGAATAGAATCCCCCCCCCCCCCAAGCCATACCTCCTGCGCGTTCCCAGTGCTGAAGTATGAGTTTGATTACCAAATGGAATAAAAGAACAACTCCACTGTCCTACGACTAGTAAAATGCATCGTGATTGGAAGGTTTTCCGACTGTTTCGAAACAGTCGGAAAGACTAAAGGCTCTTGGATAGGCACAAAGTTGGATGTTAATGGTGTCAAAGTAAATTGTAACTCTCTCATTTTTTAATGTTTTTTTTTTTCAGATCATCTGGATCTTTATCCAGGTATGTTGATAAATTTAAAGATTTTATCTGTAAACACTTAAGGAGGCCTCTTAATGGTATAACAGGTAACGAATCCTCCTTTTTCCGAATTTTGCTTTCTCTACCATTTCTCTCGTTATCTTTATTGTTATCATTATAACCTTTGTCCCCATAATTATTAATAGTAAAGTTATAAATAGTAATAGTAGTAGTAATAATAGTATTCAAACATAAACTGGTCGATTCTTGATAATCACATATACAAACTAAATGATTTTGAATTTCGAAACAGATCAGTCGTTTTTTCTTTGAAAAATTAATCAAATTTAAGATGAATCTTCAGCGAATTGTATTTTCTGTTAACTGCGCGCTCCACTCGTATACAGCGTCGCAGATAAACGTTTTAGGACCGTGTATTGTTTTTTTGTTTTTTTTTTGCAAATTTTAGCTTTTCTTAAGAAGATTGATAGTCTGAAAGTGGAAATTAGTGACTTCCAAAAAGTGATGTATTAACTTTATGAATTACCATGAAAATCTCAGTTTGTCATACACAAACTGTTGTAATCTGTCAAACCGCCCCGTTTTATGGGAGTTTGATTGTATATGAGAACAAAAACTGGGTAATGATGATATGTCAGATAGATTTCATGGAGGTTTTCTTTTATGCTTAAGTTCTCTATCTAACTATTTTTTGCGGACATTATGAAGCATGAAGTTATAGCAAGGGAAATCGCTTCTTTTTTTTTGCCAAGTTCGCCAATTGGTATATCTACAGTGTTTATTTTATGGGTCGTCCATGAGGATCTTTGATCAACTTTTTTCCTATTTTTTTAAAAGCTAGTCAAGTCAATCGTCAATTCTAATAATTCTGCACATTTCTGTTCAGGGCCTCCCTACTACACATGATAACCTTACCCTAACCCTATCATTTTAAAATTTTTGATTAGGCAAAGATTAGAGAATTGGCGAGTAGAGATATTGACACAAAACTGGTTTACTATGTCCTAAGTATATTGCTGACCTATTTCGGAGGTCTGATACGAAATATGCCCTACGTAGCAAAGAATTTGTTATTCCTAGATTTAATACAGCAACATATGGTAAGCACTCTATCAGATATACTGGACCTAAGTTATGGAATATTGTACCTAAGAACATTAGAGATCTGCCAACATTATCATCTTTCAAGATAAATATCCGTAAGATTGATCTAAATACTTTACTGACCGATAATTACTGTACCAACTGTATTTTATGCAGTACTTAATGTAAAAAAAAGTTTTTTAATGTACATTTTATCTTGTACATATTGTAAACATTTTAGCATGTTAACCAATCTTAGTATGTTTAGCTCAATTAGCATTTTAACTTTAATTAATATATGGATTTAGTCATTTTTAATTTATTTTGTAGTGTCCCCATTTAGTGGTTATGTACTGCTATTTTAGTCTGACACTTAAATAAAGGTATTCATTCATTCATTTGCATTTTTAATAGTGTTTTGCCGGCTTTCACTGTCACGCCATCATCAAAAACCATTCAACAAATATATTCATGAATGAAAAAGATAAAAGAAGATAATATTTAACCCGCTGTCTTGCAAACATTCAGATTTGTACGATGACTTTTCGTGCGGTAGATATTCAAAGAAATGTTTTACTAAAATTCGTAAGGCTTTGTATTGAGACACCATGTTTATGTCCCTTTGAGGGGTACAAATATGGTGACCGGACGCTAACAGAAGCATAAATCGTCGAGTTTTCCTATAAAAATCCAGTACGTCTTTTGAGGCCTCGTAAACATCTATATGAGCACTTATTCTCATACAAGAACTGTTCAGATTACCAAATCTCGACGGATAACTCACTTTTTAACCTACGTGACAGCATTTTGATATCATGTCACGCAAAAGCTTAGAAATTCTGAACCTTGCTTCATGTCAAGACGAAAATCCTTATTAAACTGAGAATTTTTCAAAAGATAAGTCTTCAGCTTTTCTTATAAATAACTGAGTTAAAATCTCAAAAGGATTAATAGTTCCTTGTTTTTAATTTTGATGACGTCAGGTGAAAACCAAGAATTAAATTATTGCTCTCAGCTTTTAACATTGTACCATTCTTCAATGTTTACCTTATCTTACAGTTATTAAATCCTTCAAAAGCTCAGGTGGAAAAGAAATAAAACGAATAAGTGGTACGTATAGCCTTTTGGGCAGAAATGGTAAAGAATAACATTAAATGAAGAAGCCTTTATTTTTATGTAGTGCAAACAATTTAGTATGGGGACTTCGATATGCAAACTAATCACTCACTCCCTAAGATGTTGATTATTGTTTATTAATCGTCCCGAACTCGCCCGAACACGAAACCATATTGTAGTACTACCAGGTGTTCTGGTGACGTCACTGAACCTGGGAGTAAATTTTAATTTTGTATTCCATAGGGAGGATTGCGCGTAGTTGTCAGTACATTTTGATTTTTGGCGATCGCGGTCGCATCGAGTGTTCTGATCGATGGCCTCTAGAATTTCGTTTTCTTTGCTAAAACCTCGATTGGATATCGAATTTAGCTGTCAAAATTATTTATTTAAAGCCCCTAGAAAAGAAAAACAGAGTTTCATTAAAAAAAATCTTGGAAAAACTGCCCATAAAAATATCTGTGAAACCTGAAACCACGGGTTTTGATTGGCTGCAGGTGAAAAATCAGATCATTACTAAAAAAATATCTTCAAAAATCTCATTCGAACGAAAACTGTCACGAAAAAAGGTTGTAATAAAGAGCATTAGGCGTGCAAGGCATTTCTGTGCGGCTTTAAAAATTAAAATGTTCCTTTTAAAAATATTCTTCTTACTGATTGGCTTATTATTTTCGGCCAAATCACCTGGTTAGTAACCGCACATAAAACAGTAGTGAGGCCTTGTGATAGCTTATGCTAGAATCGTTGCTTTAAATATCACCTTCCAAGCGAACAAAAATTCGTCGAGTTGAGGCACAAACCCAATGCTGTGAATTACTTCGATTGTTTATTAGGTCGGAGTGCTCTTCGATGCCTTTTAAGCTCTGTCAGGTTTTACCCCAAAGTTTACATGAAAGGGAGTGTTATTCTCATACACCAGCATATGTTTACAGGAAAGTATGAACTGAATCAAGATTTTCGAAACTACCTTCCCATGCGGTTAATGTAAAACGTTTGGTGTTCCGTTTAACTGAAATTTTAAGCACGGGGAGGGGGAGGGGAGGTAATTGATATTATAGTCGGTGGCCTATATTAATAATAACAACTTGAGAACAAAATTTTGGAAGTATGCAAGGTATGAGAAAGATGCTATTCTATCGTATTTAATATATCGGAAATAGCTGCATTACTCAGAAGGGTTGAGCTTATGCTTCTATTTCTTCTCTGTCTGTCTTTCTCTCTGTCTCCCTGTTTGTTTGTCTGTTTTAGTTGTCGGTCGCTTTCTCTGATGAATGGACTTACTGTTTGTGTTTCATTCTTGTAAACGATTTCTTGTAGGACTGTACAGTAAGGATGATTGGAATCTGGACAAAGAAGACGGGATTTGGATGGAGCACAGCGCTTTGAATGATCCCAGCAATAAGTGGGAATTTTATGTAGGATACAGGCAAAGAGGTCATTCTGCTCTTGCGAAACAGTGGCGAAGTGTAACGGAATATTACCGGGACGCCACAGTAAAGATCAATCACAATATCATAGAACTGACAATTCCATCGCCAAATGAGAATCACGAATTTGCAGTATTCGGAAAACCAGAGATAGAGGACAAAAAGAGGATGCAAGTGGGACTCTTTGGTAAAAAACCAACGAAAGGGAACAATATCCTAGTCCATGTGGTTCTCTTTGATGACACGTTGATGGCCTTTGAGGTAATAATGAAAAGATGGCACCAGAAATAATTATTAAAGATTTGCAGATTGTGAACAACTTATAAATTAAGCATTGGAAGTCTCTTTTGAACCTTAATTGACTATTACGGTGACAGAGCCAAAATTTTCCAAAGAATATGCCAAACACATCCTCCAAAATTCTTCTTTATTTACTGGAAATTGCGTCTTTTGAAGAATTAGGCGAAAGTTTATTCTTAATACAGCTAAGAAGTTTTTTTCATACGTTTGAGCGAGAGGCAATCACCGACTCCGTCAATAACACCCAAAATTCTTATTCACAACCACCCACATTACGTCTGGCTTTAACATTTTAAGTGCGAACTTGTAGACCTGTTTTAGGGTCTTTATATTTTAATCGGAGTTCATTTTCTTGATATTTATATCCTTTATTTCTATATCACAAACAGAATGTGTGCGAAAAAGAAGAGAGTAAAGACCGCCAATTGTTAACAACATTAGCGGGATTGTTCATCTCTAACAGTGACAAAGATATCATGATTGAGGTCAACGGTTTGGAACCTGGATACGAGATCAATGGCAGCACTGTAAAGGTAACCAAAGCAATTTTAAAGATTAAACCAGGTAAAACAAGATGGAACGTTCAACACCGAAAAAACAAAAGACAGTTGCAGCGATTTCACCCGGCAAACTCTAATGGGAATTGAAAGTCTTCTGCGAAAAATAAATATTCATCCATCTATCTAAGCATCAAGTACCTATTAATCCATTGATCCATTAGTTTATTATTCATTCCTTCGTTCATTTTTCCATCCATTTGTTCATCCTTTATATTTGGTTAGGCAATAATAAAACAATTAATTTCCATTGCTTACATGTCAGTTCAGCTTAAATATGACATCATACTTGGATGGGCAAATTACAAAAGCCTTCGTTATCATTAATTCGCAAATTTCTGTTTAACACGGGTTTCTGCAAATTTTCTAACTCCCTTGACACTCCATATACCTAAGTGTCCTCTATCTCCTTAAGCATCGTCAAGGTAATTTGTGAAACTAGAGATCTATAAAACCTGTTACATGTAGCTAGTATTAAGAGCTACCACCTATCCACAGTGATAGCTATGTTCTTCTCATAGACGATCAAGTCTAAGGATGCCTGGAGGACACCTGAAAATTCAACTGACTATCCCAACTGCCTCTTTGAGATAAGTTGCAAAGATAAAAGGACCAGCTCATTCAAGTGTGAGATTATCGCTTGCCAGGAAACAGACACAGCTGAAGCTGAGGTTGTTACCCACTTTGGTCAGGTATGGGTTGATAGCCGCTCTGATTAGGTTTTGGTTGTGATCTGTTTTTATCAGGTCTATACTACTGCCCTCTTTAATTAGGTCAGGGTTAATACCTGCTTGAACAGGTGCTTGTGACTACCCAATTCGATCAGGTTAGGGTTGCCATCCGCTTTGAACAGGTGCGTTTGGCTACCCGCTTGTATTAATTCTAGGCTGCTACCCGCTTTGAACAGGTGTGTTTGGCTACCCGCTTTGATTAGTTCTGGGCTGTCACCCGCTTTGAACAGGTGTGCGGGCTACCCAATTTGATAAGGTCTGGGTTGCTACCTGCTTTAATCGGTTGATATGGCTACCCATATTGTTCAGTTGTGTGTGGCTACCCACCTTGAACAGGTGTGTATGGCTACCTGCTTTGAACAGGTTTGGGTTGCCACCCACTTTGATCATATGTGTGTCGCTACCTGCTATGCTCAGGTATGTGGCTACCCGCTTTGAACAGGTGTGTGTGACTACCCACTTTGATCAAGTCCGAGTTGGTAGCCGCTTTGATTAGTTATGGTTGCTACCCGCCTTGATCAGGTATGGTTTGCTTACTGCTATGATCAAATATAGGTGGCTATCTGCTTTCGTAAGGTTGGGCGGCTTCCCGCTTTAATTAGGTATGGGTTGCTACTTGCTTAGAGCGCCGGATTGTGTTGTGCGGAAGTTCGAGGGCTCGAGCCCCGGCCGAACCAATACTCATGGTCTTAAAATAAGTGAGGAGAGTTTTGCTACCTTTCTATAATCAAGAAATGGATAGATATTCTAGTCTTCTCGGATAAGGACGAATAAACCGTAGGCCCCTTCTCCTACAGGTTTAGGGGAAGGAGACGTTAATTTCCCACGCACGAGATTACTTTGTGGTGGATGTCATCCCCTGGTTGGGATGGGTGGGTGTTGGCCCTGAAAAAGCCCCTATGGAGAGTGGTCAATTAACCTATGTATGTAGTTTGGGTGGGTATCTGCCTTGATCAGGCATGGTTTGCCACCTGGTTTGATCAATTAGGGGACACTGTCTGCCTTGATCAGGTATGTTTGGAAACCCGCTTTGATCTGCCGCGGTACAGTTTGCCACCCGATTTGATCGGTGAGGGTAGGCAACCTGATTTGATCCAGTGTGGTTGGCTACTGACTATCATCTGGTCTAAGTTGCCACCCGCTTTTATCGGGTATGGATTGCCACCAGCTTTAACCTAAAGCAGTTAGCAACCCATAGATGAAAACAAAACGGATGTACAGTTACCCAGCACTAACTCATCTTTCCGTTGCATGACCTTCAGTAACACTTATTGAGAGATATAGATATCAAACACTTTTGAAAGGGTTTTTTTTTTTGTTGATAACATGTCCAAACACCTCAAAACTCAAAACGAATGCACGAAAGGATTTTGAACTTCTTCCATTTTATTACTAATACACCTCGACTTTTGCTAAATTTCAATCAAAGCAAATGAGAAAAGAGGTGAAGCCCTTTCCGAGGACAAGGACGTACATTAAATCACATCCTACCAATGCATGCATACCTTTCTTTTTTGTTTCAGAACTATGAAGCGACTGCAACTGAAAATGGTGTGACCGAACAACCCCAGAAGGAACTGGAGAAACTTATCGGTGTGCACAGCTGCCATTTTTTCTAGTATATTATCAAGAGGGTATTTCTTCACATGCCTTTAATGTCCTTTTAAGCCTTTTAGGCCTAGAGAACAACCGAAACGGACTCCACCATAATAACATATGGGGTCGGGCGAGTCCCAATAGTGGCTTGCACTGAATTTAGCAACTAACCAACTACTCGTTAGGAACTACTCTTTGAAGGGAGTAAAAAGTGTTGGGTAGTGAAGGACCGGGAGGTCAAGTAAGAATGAAGTTTGGGATAAATGATATAAAAATCCGCGCCCCAATGAATGTAACCACCAAACCTCGTGTGTTCATTGTATCTTATCTTAAATGTTTTTTCCCAGGTATTTGTTTCTTCCAAGTGTCTTTTTTCTTGGCATGCTGTTTTACTGATTCTGATCAGTCAAACTACTGGTGCAAAGTAGCGCACGGTATGTCTGGTAGTAGGAGTCCAATTATCAAGTCTTTTAGAACATGTGTTATCAACAGAATGGATCTACCTATGAATGGAATTTAATGACTTAAGATCCTTTTTTCAAATGATTGAAACACAATAGCTGTCTGACGCTTCATAAATAAATTAGTTGAAGTTAACGTTTAACTTTTTCCACAAGAAAAGTAGCTCGACAGCGAGTCTTAATTACGCTTCCTGTTCCATCTGCGCATAAACTCTCCTGTTTTTGTCACTGGTACAACACTTCACCCTTAATATCCAAATCGGGCTGCTGATAACCTATATTACGTTGAGTAATTTTGTTGTTGCCTTGCCAAGACCTGAAGTTATATTTCACAACGACATAATTTCCTAATGTGACCTATTTTGTTTCACCCATAATCAAATATTGTTAGTGTTCTTCTAAATTTCTTCCTGCCATTCTGAGTTGGACTGGATTTTTATTTAGTTTTAGGAGCTGTACCGCATTTGCCTGCAGACGACTGTATTCCAACCGGACACCAAGGAATAGATTGCAACGTTTACAAGACCGCAAAAAGGGGAAAGCAGACCAGACACCGTGGAATGGATCGTGAATACTGCTTGGAACGTCCCGAATCGGCTCGTGATAGATTGGGTTGCTTATAAAGCGAAATTTTGTTCTGTTAACAAGTGTGACATGTTGTTAGTACATTTGATTCTTGTAAAACAAATTGAAGCGTAACTTTTAAGATTAGAACATGTGATGAAGTACTCTATTAAATTTGCAGCTCTTTCAAAAGACCATAGTTTTGCCTAACAAGAGAGGAAGGGTGCCAAGATACACAAAAGTTCTCAGTAGATCTAAAATAATTAACAAATGGTGAACATCACAACGTACACTATTGAGTTATGGGTGCACACGGTGATGCGGAAGCGTCTTTGGCCTCTTGGGTGCTTGGAAAACCTCCTAGGTTGATCAATCAGAGCGCGGGCTTTACTTTGGTTATATCACAAAGATTCTTCTTTAGCTTTATTGCTCCGGTCTTATCCTAAAGCATTGTAGCGACGATCTCACGATAATGGCTACTTTAGCCTATAATAATTGTTATCATAAGTCAATAATGGAGTCAATACAATACTTTATTCAAGAGAAAGGAAAATAAAAATTGTAAAAGTATCTCTCGAAATGGGATATTCTAGAGGTTAGCCCTATATAAAAGATTCTCCGTCTGCAAGGAAGAAGATGTTGAATCCAAATTATAATTTTATATAAACTCTAACTACCTACGGATTTATTTATACCGATTTGATTGGCCTTAAAGGCCATGAAACACTCGAATAAAAGAATGAGTGAGCACTGTGATGGTCATTGTTTTTGGTTTGCTTGTGAGTGATACGATATTTTTTTTAACTTGGAGACCTGAGGCAATACATCTAAAAAGTACACACCTATGAAAATGTTACTTGTTACACTATCTAAGGTGTAAAACCCAAAATGCTCCAACACTACCTGGCAAGAACTCATGTGGTAGGTATGCCATCGAATTTCTATTTTCATTTCCCCTAATTAGCTCTTCTATTCAGTTTGAACAGCAGTAATGCAATAATCGAGAAACAAATTGGATTCTCCCTATTCTAACTAAACATCATCAAAAGGAAGAAAACTGCTCTAAACACAGTTTGAAACACTTTCACAAAATTTCCGAAAGGGACATTGAGAGTGTTATCCTCGTAAGAAAAAATAGAATTTATGAATTTCCAAAATTATTGGTAGGGTCAAAAAGGTAACTCGATCGCATTGCAGGAAACGATGAGTAATTGCACTGATGAGAGTCTAAGACAAAATCAAGGAAGAATTCAAGCAATGATTTCATATGCTTGTTTCCTGTATTGGTCAGTTTTGTGTACGTGGACCGTGTAACTATCTGCGCCCCGATCATTCAAAAAACCGACAGGAAAATCCTGAACTCTGCTTTTATATCAACATCAAAGCTTAATGAATTGAATGATGCACCATTAAACATAGGAATATTGGGAGTTGATAGGTTACAAAAAGATAAGTTGAAGTCGGTTGAAGGTGTTATGAATTCCCCTAAATCATCTGGATAATGTGCACATTTCCATTTTCACAGCCCACAAGAGCAGATTTTAGGCCTACTCAGGGGCCTTAAGTTGCCGTAACTTAGGCGATTTAAGGCAACTTTAGCAAAATTAGCAGAAAAAACATTGCAAAGTTAGGCGACTTAAAGTGATTTTATTTGACTGAAGTGATAAAATCAAAGTTAGCAACGTCTCTCCATAAAGTGACCTTGAAAATATTTACAGAATCCCTTGCAATAAACGCAATAATTATTTTGGTTACTTTTGTATGCTCAGAAGTCACCATTGCCTAGAATATCCAGATTTCAAACCAATTTACCGAAAAATAATGAGACAGAATTACCACAACAGTTATGGTTAAATTATACAATCAAAGCTAGTAAATAAATAGACAGGAAACTAGTTTAGCTTAAAATGTTTAGACAGAATTACCCCAGCAGTTATTGTTAAAATATTCAGTCAAAGCTAGCGAATAAATAGCCAGGAAACCAATTTAGCTTAAAATGTTTAGACAGAATTACTACAACAGTTATTGTTAAATTATACAGTCAAAGCTAGTAAATAAATAGCCAGGAATACATTATGGGTTATATGCCCAACATCAAACAAACCTATCAAAAAATATATATATACACATAAAGACACACAGTTTTAATTTTAGAAAGGAGACACGATTTGCATAAAACTATCAATACGTTTTCACATAATTAATTAAAAATAACTTCAATTAATTATTTCACAAGGCCTCACAAAATATAAAAATTGGGCTTATCCTCGGTGTAAAAACCTGTGAAGCTCACGAGTGAGGTAAAAAAAAAAGTAAAACATTATAAACAATAGCGTACAGCAAAACAATATCTCATGAAACAAAGAAAACCTCGTCAGATTTTTACACCAAGGATGACCCAAAAAATTGTTAAAAGGCTGATAGTTTCGAAAGAAAATGTTTGGGGCTGCGTCGGTGGGAGTAACGAAATAATTTGGATCTATCAACAAAGTTGAAATGGTAAATTGGCTACCGTAACGATTACAAAAGCTGACGTTTCGAGCGTTAGCCCTTCGTCGGAGCGAATAGAGGAATTGTGGGTTGTGTATGCTTTTAAAGGCAGAAAATGGAGCAACGTTATTGGCGGGAACATGGCAACGAGAAAACAAGAGTAAATTAGTGGAATGAAAAGCGTTCGTTGATCCCTGTGGGATTTATACTGCCGGTTTGAAAGATGAGCTTTTGTTCAAGATTTTTACGGCTTTCCGTGCTACCTAAGTGTAAGGAAAGACTGCAGATTGTCATATGTTGCTTAGAATGATTAGGTAAATTAAAATATACCTAGCGACTGGTTTCGATGTGTCCTTGTCATTCCTTTCCACGTCTCGAAAGTGTTCTCGGAATCGGTCACCTCTGCCTGTTTCGCCGATGTATATCTTTTTGCAATAAGTGCAAGTTATGCAATAGATTACATTGGCGGAGGTGCACGTGAAGTGATCGGTGATCTTAATGGATCGTTTAGGTCCCGATATTTTATCAGTGTTGTGAATGAAAGGACACGTTTTGCATCGTGCACGAGCGCATTTAAAAGTGCCTGGTTGGTCATTAGTCTGAAAAGAACTTCTGACCAAAAAATTGCCTATGTTTTTGTCGCGTTTGAATGAAATGAGCGGAGGCTGCGAAAAGATAGTGCTTGTCTCTGGATCGTTTTGAAGTAATTTAAAGTTTTTAAGAATGATGGATTTAACTGAGTGGTTGTGAGGGTGAAACGTGAGAGTGAATGGAATGCGGTCGGAATCTTCCTTATGCGACGTTTGTAGTGCTGAATGTCGATCAATAAGTTGGGCGCGGTGGTAACCCGCTTGAACGACAGAAACAGGGTAACCACGTTTATCGAAAAACTGGCACATTGACTCTGATTTGTGGTGGAAATCAGAGTCATCACTACATAAACGACGAAGTCTTAGAAACTGAGAAAAAGGAATGGAATTCTTAACGTGAGATGGATGCGAAGACGAATATAACAAGTAATTATGCGAGTCTGTAGGTTTGTAATACACACTAGTGCATAAACCGTTACCTTCAATTGAAACTTTGATGTCTAAAAAGGATAAAGAATTGTCAGAAATTTCCCAGGTATATTTGAGAGCCGGGTGAAAAGAGTAGACTGCGGTTATGAATTGAGTGAGCTCCTCTCTGGTAGAGGAGGTAGCGCCGATACAGTCGTCGATGTAGCGACCGTAGAGTTCAGGTTCGGACCCGTTGAATTGGCTGAAAAATTGATGTTGGACAAAACCTACAAAAAGATTGGCATAGCTAGGTCCCATTTTGGTGCCCATGGCTACACCATTGGTTTGTTTGAAGAAGTTGTNAGGTCCCGATATTTTATCAGTGTTGTGAATGAAAGGACACGTTTTGCATCGTGCACGAGCGCATTTAAAAGTGCCTGGTTGGTCATTAGTCTGAAAAGAACTTCTGACCAAAAAATTGCCTATGTTTTTGTCGCGTTTGAATGAAATGAGCGGAGGCTGCGAAAAGATAGTGCTTGTCTCTGGATCGTTTTGAAGTAATTTAAAGTTTTTAAGAATGATGGATTTAACTGAGTGGTTGTGAGGGTGAAACGTGAGAGTGAATGGAATGCGGTCGGAATCTTCCTTATGCGACGTTTGTAGTGCTGAATGTCGATCAATAAGTTGGGCGCGGTGGTAACCCGCTTGAACGACAGAAACAGGGTAACCACGTTTATCGAAAAACTGGCACATTGACTCTGATTTGTGGTGGAAATCAGAGTCATCACTACATAAACGACGAAGTCTTAGAAACTGAGAAAAAGGAATGGAATTCTTAACGTGAGATGGATGCGAAGACGAATATAACAAGTAATTATGCGAGTCTGTAGGTTTGTAATACACACTAGTGCATAAACCGTTACCTTCAATTGAAACTTTGATGTCTAAAAAGGATAAAGAATTGTCAGAAATTTCCCAGGTATATTTGAGAGCCGGGTGAAAAGAGTTGACTGCGGTTATGAATTGAGTGAGCTCCTCTCTGGTAGAGGAGGTAGCGCCGATACAGTCGTCGATGTAGCGACCGTAGAGTTCAGGTTCGGACCCGTTGAATTGGCTGAAAAATTGATGTTGGACAAAACCTACAAAAAGATTGGCATAGCTAGGTCCCATTTTGGTGCCCATGGCTACACCATTGGTTTGTTTCAAGAAGTTGTTTCCGAATGAAAAACAATTGAGTGTGAGCACTAATTCGGCTAAGCGTAGTAGTGTTTCAGATTTAGGTTCCTTATCAGTGCGTTGATCAAAAAAATGTTTAAGGGCCAGAAGGCCTTCGCCATTAGGAATGACGGTGTAAAGAGACGTAATATCCATGGTGAAAAGAAGTTTGTTTTGGCCAAGGAAATATAAGTCTCGAAAAATTTGAAGAGCGTGTTTGCTGTCTTTAATATACAATGGTAAAGTTTTGACGATGGGAGCCATCATTTTGTCTAGATAGCTAGAGATAAGTTCGGTAGGGCAACTGCCAGCCGAGACAATGGGCCGACCCGGGTTGTTAGGTTTAGGAATTTTAGGTAAAAAGTACCTTACAAAAAACTGTTATCTTGGTAAACTTGTCTCCCATATTTTTGCCACTTGCACTGTCAATTTCGGCATGAAAGTTTGGCAAATCGCATATCTTTCCAACAGCATCCAAAATTGCACTGTCCTTTTCAGGGACCCAACAACTTTGTTGTTCTCCTGCCTCAGTCAGACAAAACACTCCAATGCCAGACTGAGAACCACATGCTAGGGTCTTTCTCCACTGCTGATCGCATCAGCAGGACTTTCTAAGCATTCAAGTTTTATCTTTAGACTGATGGCAGTATTACAGGTTTGAAAGCATTCATTGTTACTTCACACCTGTCCAGAAACTAACGAGTCACAACGAAATTCTCCAAGCTTACAACTGGCCCTGTAGTCTCTGCCATTTTAATTCTCCAAGCAACCTATGCGCCGCTAACTAGTTTCCATGCTTCCAAGTTAAGAGCGGGACAACATTTTAGGGTTTCTCTCGCCAAGTACGCTCATGCTATCTGCTATTACCAAAAACATTTCCTTTAATTTACCTCTAATTTTCTAATTTACCATTTCTTTCCGCAATGCAAGCAGGTAACCAGTCAATAGACACAAGGCGGAATTTTTCGGTGGGTACGGATCGGAAAGAATACCGGCCATAATGATAATCTACTTCACGAGGGAAAAGCACATGCGTGGTATTTTCATTGAAGC